ATACAGTAGAGATGGAAGCCTACACCTCCCAGTGGCTAGATTCATACATTGCAATAGTCTAACAAAGGGAAAAGCTTCAAATCCTTGGTAATGGCAGCAGCAAACTTTTAAAATATTACACTGAGGGCTCAGTTTTGTAAACATGCATGTGAGTAACTTTATTCATGTGAATAGTCCCACTGTTACTTGCATTGATTTCTGTAGGATGAGACCCCAAATGTATATATGGTTTTAATCTCAGAGGAGCAGGATGGATTAAAATAAATTACCTGTAAAGGAACATCCGAATAAGTAATTTACACCTCCAGACACTTAACAAACTGAGGCCATAATTATGCAACCTTTATGTGAAATATTACCCCATATAAAGGTCACAGGTGGAGACCCCAAGCAAAGTAACCTGGCGTTCTGTGCGCAGGATAAGGATTCAGATATTCCTACATTCTAATTCAAATCAAACACTATCTCCCTCAGAGGCCTTGGACAAAGTCACCCTTGATCATAGGTGCTGGAATTAGGGGTGCGGAGGGGGTGCTGCAGCATCCCCAAGCTTGAAGTGACTTCCATTATATACAGGATTTACAGTTTGGTTCAATGACTCTCAGCACCTCTTTCCTTGATGATGAATTTTGGCCTTCTCCCTCCATTGCTCTGTCTGTAAAATTGAGACATTTAACCTCAATTGTGTTTTGAGGATTAATTAGTGACAGTCTGTACAGGGCTTAGAGGTCAGTATTACTTTTTATGCTTTGTCTAATAATGTAATGCAATGTGTTTATTTTTAAAAAAATCAGAAAGGTCAGGTAGGAGTTATATTACAATCAGATGTGAAATTTGATTGATTTTATTAACAAGCATCCGTCTCTTACAGTGCTTATGTTAATTAGGGATAACTTGTGGTGTTAAAATGACTAACTTTTTTTTTTGGTATCAGTATAACTTTTTAAATCTTGTTTTATCACTTTTTGCACTTGGCATCATTATAACCGTTATGGGCATTTTAGAATCTATTGCAGTTCAGGCACTCGTTTTTGTTTGTTTGTTTTGGATTTGAATAGCTAAACTGGTCTTTATTTGAACAAAACACAGGAGAAAAAGAGTGAAAATTCTAGACAGCACTCATTTCATCTTCTAAATTACCAAGAGGGTTGACTACTACTCCTGTCTCATGTTACAAATTTAAGTGTGATTACTGCTTGATGGAATTACAAGGGTGGTTCCATTTAAGTTAAAGGCATTACTGGTGTGAACAAGGCAAGTAGGATCTAGCTGTCTGGACCCAATCCTGGGAGGCAGCAAGCATCCTCATAGCCCGCTGCTTTCTACTATGTTTTTCTAGGCACAAAGAACAACTGTATACTTTGACAGAATTTAGATAAGTTACTATCGTGTTTTGTTGTCACTTTATTTTGCATTTATACAGCACCTCACAATACCTGGTCCTCCATGAGTCAGGCTCCTAGCTGTGACTGCAGTACAAATACAGTAAGTAAAAGTGAAGTCTCCATATGAATGTGTGACTTCTGTAACATGATGCACCAATCTGTCTCAAAAATGGCAGCTTCACCAGCAGCCTGCTGGAATTCTGAATCTGCAGTACCACCAACATATAAACAGTTACACAGCTGTGTAAATCAATGGGAGTAGGAGCAGGCCCTATGTAAGGAAAACCAACCATATGAAGGCCTGATGCTGAACACCTGCAACTCCTATTGACTGCAGTGGGGCTTGTTTGTGCTTAGTATCTTCCACCATCAGACAACGGAGGTTTCCCATTTGAACTCTTCCAGCCGTAGCCCCCAGACTGTACTGATATAAAAAAAGTCACCCAAACAGGTGCGTTTATACAGCACCTCACAATACCTGGTCCTCCATATGTCAGTGGTGCTGGATAAACATTTCTCCTGAAAGAGTCCCCAGTGCAGGAAAGCACCGTAACTGCTTAAACCCATGCCTATTCAGGAAAGCACTTAAGGATGTGCTTGACTTCTATGGGGCTTAGCAAATGTTTTCTGGGGTTGGAGCAGGGGTGAAAGTAGGACAGTATGGTGTACCTTTTTTGGCCGCCAAAGGGAGGGGGGGGCAAAAGGGGCAGCTGCCCCGGGGCTCCCGGTCACCGCTACCATGGCAGTGGCCATAGCCCGGGGCCCATTAAAGTGCTGCTGGAGCCCCAGGTGACATGGGTCAGGCAGCGCAGATGGGCTGGCTGAGGGAGGCTGACCCCCCAGGGCCGGTGCAAGGAAGTTTTGCGCCCTACACAAAACTTCCACCTTGCGCCCCCCCCGGCCCTGAGGCACCCCCCCACGGCAGCTCCCCGCCCCGCCTTGAGGCGCCCCCCCCCCACGGAGCCGTGCGGCAGCTCACCTCTGCTCTGCCTCCTCCCCTGAGCATGCCGCCCCCGCTCTAATTCTCCTACCCTCCCAGGCTTGCAGTGCCAATCAGCTCACCTCTGCTACACCCCCTCCCCGAGCACGCCGCCCCCACCGGCAATGACAATAATTGCATGGAGTGGCCGCTGCACTGGGAGAGGGAGTTTGAGCCCCATGTGTCAGCGCACCGCCAGCAGCCCAGCCCAGGAATGCTGTAAAAAAAAAAGAAAATTGGGGGCACTGCTTTTTGGCTCCCCTAAATCTTGGTGCCCTAGGTAATCACCTAGTTTGCCTTAATGGTAGCACCAGCCCTGCTGACCCCCAGCCCTGCCCCTTCTGCCCCAGGCCCTGTACCGGTAAGTGGTTAATGTTACTTTCACCCCTGGGTTGGGGTGAGAGCTCTTGTGAATTTCAGCCTGCAATACTAAGAGAGAGACAGAGTGCAAAGTAGGCTTCTGAGTCTTCTGCCCTGTAGCCTACGGCAGGGGTTCTCAAACTTCATTTTCCTGCAACCCCGTTCTGACAACACAAATTAATACATCACCCCAAGGGCAAATCCAGAGCCTGCTCAAGCCACGCCACCCCAGGTGTGGGGCCCAAAGCCTTAGCCCCACTGCCCTGGGCATGGGGAGGCCACAACTGAAGCCCAAAGGGCCTGTAACCTGATCCCTGCCACTCAGGGCTTCAGCCTCAGGCAATGGGGCTTAGCCTTCACCTTTGGCCCCAGCAAATGTAAGCCAGTCCTGACAACCCCACTAAAGTGGGGTCGTGACCCACTTTGGGATCCTGACCCACAGTTGGCTCTTACAGCCCCTGTATAAGAGAAAGGAAATTGTTCACAGAGGTGGATTTTCTTCTCCCGCTAACGCCCTCCTCACTGGCTACTGCAGCCCACCACCAGTCCCACCATAGAAAATAACTAGGCAGCAACCTTAGGGTTACCATTCGTCCGGATTCCCCCGGACATGTCCGGCTTTTTAAGCTAAAAATAGCGTCCGGGGGGAATTTGTTAATGTCCGGACTTCCCCCCCATGCAGAGCACGCGGGGCTAACAGTGCTGCCGGCCGGTGTCACTTACATGGGGCTCCGACACTCAGCCAGAGAGAGCTCCTCCTCCTTCCCTCCCTCCCTGCATTGCAGATGGCTCCGGCAGTTTGGAGCTCCTCCCCCGCTGCTGCCCAGCAGCTCCGGCCGTTCCTGAGCAAGTTCACCAGACATTAGGTGAAGAAAGGCCAACAACAAGGGGGGCAGGGGATCGGAGAAGGGGCAGGGAGGATCTGGAGGGGGCAGTCAAGAGACGGGGGGGGGGCTTTCTGGGGGTGGGGGTGTGGAGAAGGTTTTGGGCAGTCAGGGTACAGGTAGGGGGTAGGGTTCTGGGAGTCATTTGGGGGGGGGTCTTAGGAGGGGCAGTTAGGGGACAAGGAGGCTTAGGTAGGGGGTGGGGTTCTGGAGGGC